AAAAAAACGGTCAAAATTTTGAGAAAGGATCGCCACAATCAACTCAATCCTGAAGAATATATTACAAACAAATTTATAGCATTTGCTTTGATGGTTTAGACTCACAGTTGTCGCTGTTCCGTCCCGGAAGTTCGGAGATGTCGATCATATACAACAGCGAAGGTTTTCCCGTACGAATAATCAAGAACAATCAGGTACTGCACACAACAGCAAGCGATATTCACTCTATCCATGTGAGCACTTCCCCACATTCCCCCAAGTATATGAGGAACACATTTTGATCAAATCGGCACGAACAGGGTATGAGTAGTCCGAGCAGCGAACATCTACGGAACGGGTTCCCAATGGAGCGCAGTCCGCAGCCGACCACCAGACCGCCGTCAGTGAAGCAACGTGCGCGAAGTTTGCCTAGAAGTGAGCGGTGCTTATCTCAGCGTTGAATTCAGACGTAAATTAGCTTGCTTAAGGAACTGTGGAAAGAGATCCATTCGAGGGTTTGGAGGGTGGGTGGTGGAGCAAGGGCGAAGTACAACGGAATAAAGTAAGTTGTTGGAACGCTAAGTTCTGTCAAGTATCCTTTTTTCTGACGTTCTTTAGGAGCGACGTGATTTGGCGAACCAGAACAGAACGGTGGCTGGAGGTAACTTCACGCAAAGGCCGGAAACTCCAAAAAGACAGTCTAGATGGCAGGTAAGGAAAAGAGTTAGGACACGCTTATGCTGTTTTGACAAACTCCCAATAGCTCACTAAAACCCCGGCTACCAATAACAACTTTGCAGTACATTGCAGATCCTTACCTGCTTTTATCATATGTCTCTACTTCATTTTTGCCCTAGACAAGAGCAACAAGTTTGAAAATGGAGTGCAAACGAACAAACAATTGATTGAAGCAGCTAGTAATATTTTAGGAGAGGGAATATGATATGGATGACGTACCAGCTGCTGGCTACAGTGGACATATGCCAGGTATACTGTACGATCTCGTGCATAAGTATCTACTATCCATAATGTAGGATTGCGGCAGCTTGGAGTTGGAAAATCTTTCAATATTGCTGCAAGGGAAGCGAAACGAGACTATGCAATCCGACGAAGGGCGCATAGTGGAGAGAGGTTGAAAGGTAATGATATCTTGAGTTGATAAATATCTTGTGCTTTGTGAATAGCGGAACATCTTTTACTTGCTGCAATCTATAGAATATAAGAAAATCTTCATTTGGATTCGCTCAGCATTTGTTCGACTTTCTGCCACATTAATCCAACGCAGATTCGGTTTTTACTTTCCGAACATACATGGTGGGAAAGCTGGAAGCACTAAGGGTGC